GGTAGCAGCTCTCCAGTAGGTTTGTGTGTGAGAGACAGAACATCAAACAGCTGACTGCTCAGTCTTGACATCAGGTCACACCCCTCCACCATGCACTGGCCCCTCCCCATGTCTGTGCCCCTACCACCACATTTTAATGTCAATAGTGCCCCTTCTTTCTCAGAAAAAAGCACTGCCCAGCCTTAAAGTGATTACACTTTACCTGCCATGGCTGGACTTCTACATGCTCAAGTCTGCCTTTATACAACATAACTCTTTGTCTGGAAAAGTATATGGCATGCAAAGCATGTGCCACAGCATAGACAGCATTATAGATACTGTAGCTCTCACCAGACATTTCCATTTCAAAAATCCTTATAGGAAGTTCCTCCAAATTCTCCTCTCCTCTACAGCTTCCACACAGTTTAAATGCAACTTTCCACGGCAAACAGAGAAACATCTCTAAAGTGTCATCAAGCTTGACATTCCGAAGAAATTCCTTGAATTTTGGCATTGCATTTGTGTGGCCCGAGAAAGAAAAGGCACCAAAGAAAATGTTTCTGCCAATCATTTCTCCACTTAGTTTGCTGACAAGATCCCACTGAAGAGGCATGATCCAAACCTTTCCTATGTTGCTCATCACATTGATTTCAATTATTTCCATCAACTGTATTAAAATATTAAGCAACAATACATCCATTTTGAGAACAATCACATTGGCATCAGCTGAAGCAAGTGTTTGCATCAACTCTGTGATTCTTACAATGTGATCCAATTGCATGTGATTGTTAAGAATATAGTTAGTTACTGTTTCTCTTTTCAAGAAGGCAACACATATTTTGTTCTGGGCAAGCAAAGGAGTCAGTTTCTGCACAAAGATTTCCCCAGCATCATCATCAGATACAACTAGGCCAATCCATGTCCATCTGAAATGCCAAAATAGCTGGATGATCCCCATATGATAGGTAGTTTCCCTTGGTGCCATCCGGTACAAAAAAGGGAAATCACTTTTGCCACTTACTGTAGCTTCAAATGAACCGAAAGTGAGCTAACAAACAAATAAAAAACAAAAGAACTCTGCCTTAATAAGCAACTGCATCCAAGAACACCTTTCATGTGGTCACACATTACATTCAGCAAGGCTACAATCTGCATATTTCTATATGGAAATACGGTAGTTCAGCAATACATTCATACCATTAATCACATTAAATTTTCAATCAGAGTGCCATCTGTAAACTATACAATAATATCTGTAAGAATAGAACAGGTGCCACACTAATATACTTATTTTCGTGTACAGGCACCTAAAAGTAGGGTTTTTATTTTCTGTTCTTTTTGGCTGACAATTTATTTCTTCAGCTAGAAATGTTTTACATACCTCAACTCAAAAGTATTTCAACACTTCTGTTAAATGACCTTTCAATGCTATAGTTAGTCCATAGAATGTGTAGATAAAGGAAAAGCCAGATCTCCTACATAATCGTGTTTTATTGAGGATGTATTCTGTATTCATGTGAAACCATTGCTGAGTTTTGCATGAGGAGCTTGTTAGCAGCTAAATATTTTTCTGTTACATTTAGTCTTGGTGCAACACAGATAGCCCAAATTTATTTGTTGTAGTTGCTCATTAATTTAGGTAATCTAAGTCTATGGTTTTAAATGGCTCTAGTATGAATGTAACGAAGAGCAAATATGACCATTATTAAGTGTTAATTTATGTGTTGAAGTTTAGTTTTTAATCAGTATTCCAACTCAGTGTCATTAACCATTAATTACTTCCACTTTTGAGAAACAACTTCTGATTTTTTTCATACTCTTTTTATGAAAAAGGGAGATTGATAGAGCATAATTGAAAAGCAAGTGGACATCATCCATACGAAGCTTGAGTGTGCATACCTGTGGGATCTTGTAGTTGCTTAAAATGGTAGACGTCTGCTTGGAATATTCTGAAGTGAGTCCCCCAATAACAGATAATACATTTTTCCTGTCACACTTGTAATTGGGCATACTATTTCTCTGCTTGAAAAGTAGATCCAGAACAGATTGGAAGGTTCTTTTTAAATTATATAAATTGTTGAAGATATGGAACCCCAGGGTGATATTGGGCAAGAGCTGTGGGTTGTCATTGATCTCACGAATGGCAAAAATCAAGGCGAAAACATGTTGATAATATTTGAAGTTTGTGCTGCAATGAGGTTCACATTGAGATTTATAAAGGTGAGTTTGGGATTGTTCAATTTACTATTAGCAGCACAGGTTTGTTTGGTTTTTAAAATTGCTGCTGGATAACTTTCTACTAGCTGGAGTAAGGGAGGTTAAGATGAATGTATTTTGGTTCAGTATCTGAGATCATAATTGTTCAGTTGAGTCAGACAGAGAGGGAACAGGTAGAGTAAGTCATTGTAAACCCAGGGCAAATGCAGCCAGATTTTATCCCATTGATTAGCTGTTTGCCTTTGGATCACTGAGACATAATATATTAACATTAGATAGTTCTTGCCAGTGGAGCAGCCGGTTTCGAGTGGGGAAAGCTATGCAGGGTACTCCCTTGTACCTCTTTCTCTTCCTGCCTGGTATATTTCCCTGGTGATTCATGCATACACTATGCATAACATACAGTGAGAAGGCAGTGAATTGGCTCAGCTTTCATTCTTTCCTTTCCTTTTAGGTGGGGGCATATATAATGGGACACAACATTATAAAGTGGGCTGTTTTGAAGTGCTTTCCCTAGAAAAAACTGGGGGGTGGGGAGCTCAAAATCCCACCCCATTACAGGGAATCTTTTGGACATTGCTCCATACAGGTGACAGGATTTTGACCAATAACCCACATTTTCTAAGGGACACGTCAGTTATGAAAAGGAACACTTTGTGGCATTCCAGAGGAATTTCTGCCATGCAGTTGTTGGCAAATCTAACATTGTCAACCAGGATTAGAAGTAGACAAAACTGTACAAAACTTACAAACCAATATCGTGATTTCTGTCTGGAACATCTTTAAAATCAAGTAAATAAACCCACTGTTGTTTTAGAGAAACAACCCCACCAATGATTACTTCTCCAGGCTTATACAAATGTTCTTGGGAGTTTCTGCATTCTCCCGTCATTTCCTTACAGGCAAAAGGAGGGGTCTGTAGCTGCCACAACAACAGCAACAGCAAACACCAGCATTTACGTACATGCCTTCCCATAACAGCATGAATGCTTCACCATACACACAGTGAGAACAGTAGGTGGTGATTTTATCTTTCGTGCATATATCACCATACGTCCAGCTCAAAGAGGCACAGTGTAACTAGCACTCAAAGGAATTCAGCCTTTACCCACCCTTGGTTTCTTTTATTTAATTCTTTGTTGTATTTTTTGGTTACATATGAATAATAGTGTTTTGCATAATTACAGAGCAGGTAAATACCTCCCCAAATTGGTGCATTCTCTGCTTGTGGGAAATAGCGGGAAAAAATCGCAGACACAGCCAAGGTACCACCTGCTTCACTGTGAGGCTGTCTGAACACGGTTGGTTCTCCTTACAATATTGAGTTCAGGGATGATGAGTTTGTGGTGTTCCAGATGCTGCTCACCTACAACTACCATCATCCCTGACTAATAGTCATGCTGGCTGGGGTGGATGGGTGTTGCAGTCCCACAACATCTGCAGTACAGGAGATTGTCCATCGCTGATATAGAAAGCATCCCTATAGCAAGATCCACTGGGATCTTGTATCCAATCCCACTGCCCAATACTTATGTCCCTCTAAGGACTTTGGGGGGGTAGGATTTAGACTGGATTCTATTTGGATTCAGGTCAGTCAAGTGACCTGGCAACCTGCTGTCTGTTAAGTCAGCAAAAAGGGTGGCGTAACTCAAATACTATCTTGAAGGTTTGTTTTCCCTCTGCAATGCTCAGGCTGGCTCATCCAACAGTAGTACCCTTTCCTGGCAAGCCCCTTTGCATCTAGTGTACTGTATGCAGGTTACCTTATGCTGTGCTTGCTTTACACCAGTTTCTTGGGCATAAGATCATTGCCTTACATTAATTATTTACTGACCATAAGAAAAGATTACCTTATCCCAAATAAATGGGAATATCATGCAGGAACAGTAATGGAATTTACATCCAGCAGATGCCAACACAGAGTCTGCAATTTCACACATCAGTAATTTTAACCAGACTGGAATTGAGCAGAGCCAAACCTCATGGGACTCCACTGCAGTCTTTTGGAATTTTCTCTGATGAGAACTGAGCAGTTAGGAGTTTGAAGCAACAGGTGTTTTTTATTGTATTTTATTGGCAAAAGAGTGAAGCTGTGCAAAAGTGTGATGATGGTATGTCTCAAGTCCAATATTGCTCCAATGAATATAATTGGAAAACGTTTTTCATTAAACTGTGGGTGTTGGTGGTGATAAAAAAGCTCCTCTCTTTTTCAAAATTCTTTTGCAGGCCATCATAATTATACCCCCCCCCCCAGACATTAACTGAGAATATTGGGGGTGGGGACAAGGATAAGCACATCACCTCCATCCTATACAGAGCTGATTCTGTCACAAGGTGGGCAGCAGCTCAGCTCTGCAGGTGGCCAGGAAGGGCCCCCCATCATTAGAGGAGACCACCAGGGGCCAGCAGGCCAGTTGGTAGTTGAGTGAGCAAACAGGGAAGGAGGAGTGGAGCACACATGTGAGCCAGAATGGGACTTTCAAGGGAGCTTCTGACACCATCAACACTTATGTGAATATCTGTTCATGTTGCACATTCGTGGAAGGGAAGAAGGGTTGGCTTTTAACCTGAGGTGATTGATGGGGATAAAAGAGGCTGGGTAGTCTGGTGTGTATTGTGAAAGATGTAAGAAAATTGGCCTCTGGTGGAAGTGAAAATGTCCAGAACTTCCACTATATATCCACCTTTTTGGTGTTCAGGTAAGCAGGTTGGAAAGAAATCCACACAGAACAAAATAACAGCATGTCAAGGTTTATGAACTTGGCTTCAGTGAATGTGCCAAGCAATTTTCAGGTACAATAAAGCTGTATCTTTGAAGAGTGAGAATGGATAATTCTAATTATAGTACATGGTAACACAGGCTTCATTTCATTCTAGTATGAATTTATTGGTTAACCTGACACCTAAACTATGATATGGTTTCCTTGTCCCAAAGGCTTAACAATTGAAAGTTATTAGCCAACATGCAGTTACACAGTTTACTAAGTTCAGTAAAAAAGTCTTTATTGGAACCCTCCCCTCCGGGGGGGGGGGGGACATGTAACAAACAAAAACTAATCAGTCATTTCCTTTTTTTGTTAGCACCATCTTAGTATTGAAATCAGCCCTGAAAATAATGATGTAACATTTGGGGAGGAAGATGCAAGCCAATAGCCCAGTATTTGAGGCCAAGATGGCAAAAAGCTCCACAGCCACGATATATTTTCCCTTGGTGCTTAGGTAACCTGGGATAAAGGAGATCCAAACACTGCAAAACACCAGCATGCTGAAGGTGATAAACTTTGCTTCATTGAAAGTGTCAGGCAATTTTCTGGCTAAGAAAGCAACAGTGAAGCTGATCATGGCTAGAAACCCCATGTAGCCCAAGACACAATAGAACATGGTGATGGAACCTTCATTGCATTCCAGTATGATCTTCCCAGTCTCTGAGTGCATGTCAACATCTGGGAATGGTGGAGAGGACAACAACCATGCAATACAAATACACACTTGTTGGAGGGAGCAGAAAAAAACAATGGAAGTAGCCACTTTTTGGCCCAGCCATGTCCTGATCCTGTTGCCTGGCTTTGTGGCCAAGAAGGCCAGGACCACAAGGATTGTTTTTGCCAACACACAAGAAACTGCCACAGAGAAAATGATGCCAAAAGTCATTTGTCGAAGAAGGCAGGACAGCTTCCCAGGTTTGCCAATGAAGAGCAAACAAGAAAGATAGCACAACAGGATGGCAATGAGAAGAACACAACTGAGGTTCTGGTTATTGGCTTTGACAATGGGCGTGTTCCAATTCTTTAGGAAGGTTTGTATCACAAAACAAGTGATCACAGTAAAGGAAAGAGCAACACTAACCAAAACAATCCCCAAGGGCTCTTGATAGGACAGGAAAGATATAACCTTAGGGATACACTGGTCATGGTTCTCATTTGGATAGTGATCTCCTGGGCACTTGACACAATGAGTTGCATCTGAAAGGAATTAATAGGATATATCATATAAATGACAGCTTTTATGCAGAAGGGAAGAAATGGCATAATGTGCAATTAATACTGGACAAGAATGGCTCAATCCACATGTTTATATGAAGCATAAAAGCAAAGTTTAATTAAGCAATCCCCTTCTCTGATCTTTCATTTTAAGAAAGGGTGGGTAGGATTATTTGCCCACCAAAGAAGCTGAAGTTGACCTGCAAGAATGGATAGTGAATACATACATACATACATACATACATACATACACACTACACTAAAGAAATAAATTTAACAAGGTAATAAGGGAACAAAAATATGAGGGATAGGCTAGGTACATTCCACAGCCTAGCCATCAGCCTAGTCATCCTACAGCCTGGTTTAAAATATTTGGTGGTCCGAAATGTGGTTGTTATCCTTTCTTGACATATGTATCACAAATCAAGTTATTATTATGAAATGCTTATACTTCCATATCCTTATCTATCAGGTTGGATGGGATCACTCAGAGCAGTCTGCAGCTACTAGGGGATGGGGTACCGAGCAGGAAGGACCATCATGTATCAGGGGAGAGGGGGGGCTGAATGAAAAGGCTGGCATCTACCCTGACCACTGGAAGAAGATAGTAGCCCATCACATGATTCATCTTCTTGTTTGTTGTTAAGTGGCAGAAGCAGAGCCACTGATTTTATCTGCACAGCTGCTCCTTTCCAAGCCACCTCTCTGAGAGGGAGAAGGGAGAGCGGAGCAACATCTCTTTCTTCTGGTGGATGTATGCTAAAGCCTTTCCTCCTTCCAAGGAGGAGAGGGGTTGTGAGTGGGAGATGATTCCCACGTCATGCAGGTGGCGCTCCGCCCTGTTTCAACTCCAGGGCTGGCGCGCCACGCCCCTCCCAGGTTGGGCACCCAATAGGGAAGTTTGGCGGGGGCGTGGCTTACTGAGCGGAGCAACATCTCTTTCCTCTGGTGGCTGTATGCTAATTAAAGTAAGACCTACCTACAAACTAGTTCAGAATAGGTCCAGGTTAACCTCTGGTTTAGCTCAGGGTTGGTTGCCCTGGTTAGAGACTCCTAGATTCTCTTTCTGGGGGACAGGGGATGGGTAGGTATTGGGGACTCCTTGGTTCTATATGTATATATTTCTCTCTATGTTGAGAAATCCACAGTTCTCTGGATAACCTGGTGTCAGCCTATATAAACTCTGTCTTGCAGTATGTGAATCTTTAAAAATTGCAAATTGTAATTCCTTGGGGGGCTGCATAGGTTTAGGAATGTACGGCACAAGAAGGAGCTTTTTCCCCTTTCCTGGTCCTGACAAAGTATATAAAAACATGAAACACATATTTGATCCCCCCCCCTTTGCATAGCTGTGTACTGCCACATACCCTTCTCGTTGGAAATCATGTTTTCTGAGCATGCAGTGCAGTCATAACAACAGAGTGGTTTGCCTTCTTGAACTATCTTGCTCTGTCCAATATGGCAGCTTTCAACACATATGGAATGTGGTGGCACCTATTCATTAAAAAATGTATGAGTCCAACCATACTTACCTCAGGAATCCAGGCTTCCTACAGCTCTGGTCTCCTTTTATAGCTTGGTTGCAGACCAAGGGAGCACAATTTACTCTCTGTTCTGTGCCCTGGCTGTATTCCTAGGAGCTAGTCAGGAGAGCTGATTGGCTCCCAGAGCAAGCAGAGGCCCAAGCCCAGCCAGCCAGGAAGGAGCCCGGTTTCCAGCTGCTTACTGCAATAAATGAGCAACTCTCTCTTCTATGGAGAAACACTGAACCTGAATATGTACAGGATGAGTCCTTTAAAAGAGGCTCCGTGGATACAGAGTACACATGTTCCACGGAGCCTCTTTTAAAAGACTCACCCTGTATAAAAGAAGCCTAGGTTCATTGCACCAGTCTTCCTCTGTGGGGCTCAGAGATTATTAAAGACAAATAAGAGGACTTAAGGTTCTACAGCAAGAGTGCGGATAGCAGCTCCATCCACAGTTGATTCCTACCTGCTTCAATCTTGTATTCCACACAATGGCATCTTTGATAATGCTGAAGTTCTGACTTGATGAAACCCTTCCAACCAAGACTTTTAGGTAGGTCTCATTGGGGAAAGTGACCCAGTTGATGATATCATATCCAATGGACAAATCCTTCTTCTCAAAAAAGAATTCCTGGGCAGCTCCATTGTTAAAGCGGATGTTTTCCAGGAAAGCATGGAGCTGGATTGGAAGAAAATAAAATGAGTTTTATAAAATGGTAGCCATAGTTTCTGCATGCCCTCAATATGCCATGAGGTCATTTACAAGCATTTTAAATTATAGCTGAAGTGAAGTACAGAGAAAAGTTCAAAAGCTGTCTGTTACCTTATTTCCACACATCATGGGTAGCAGTTTTATGATTTAATTCTCTCCAAGTAAAGACCAGGATTAGGTACCTAGCCTACCTTTTGTTCTAAACAGAGAAAACAGGCAGAGATTTTTCTTTCTTTCTCAGCGAGCACAGTTAATGCTGATATAGATCCTTTCCCCCCATGGATATACCCATACAGCTTTGTGTTCCTTTCTCTTTTCCCAGTATTTTGCTGTGTTAGCCATGCTGTGCTATTGCCTAATAACCATGGTAGCCATTTTGTGACTGGTTCCCACAACATTCAAAAAACCGTGAATTACAAATAGGTACTCCCAGCCTTAAAGTGATTAATTTACCTGCCATGGGTGAACATTCACATGCTCCACATTGACTTTATGCAACATAGCTTTTGGTCTGGAGAAGTATATAGCATGCAAAGCATGTGCCACAGCATAGACACCATTGTAGATACTGTAGCTCTCACCAGACATATCCATCTCAAAAACCTTGGCAGGAAGATCTTCTAAATATTCTTCTCTACAGTTTTCACACCGTAGCAGTGCTAATCGCCAGAAGAAACAGAGGAACATACTTAGTGTTTTATCAAACTTTACATTCAGAAGGAAATCATGGAAACCTGGAACTGTATCTGTGTGGACAGAGAAGGAAAATGCACCAAAGAAAATGTTTCTGCCGATCAATTCTCCCTTTAAGAAGGTGCTGAAATACCACTGAAGTGGCATGATCCAAACCTTCCCTACATTGGTGTTCATCTTGAATTCATTTATTTCCATCAAGTGTGTTAAGCTATTCGACAACAGAGCATCCGCCTTGAGAATAATCACACTGGCATTGCTTGAAATAAGTATTTGCATTAATTCCATGATTATTTCAGTGCATTCAGGTTTCCAGTAATTATTAAAAAGAAAATGAGTTACTATTTCCCTTATCAAGAAGGCAATGCATATGTTGTTGTGGATAAACAAAGAAGACAGCTTCTGTGCAAAGCTTTCCCCTGCATCATCATAAGATACAATGAGGCCAACCCATGTCCATCTAAAATGCAGGAGTAGCTGGATGATACCAACATGATGTATGGTTTCTCTTGGTGCTGTCCAGTATGAAAAAGGGAAATCACTTTTATCATTCACTGTAGCTTCAAATGAGTCAAAGGTGATCTAACAAATGAGCAAACATATGTTTTCTTTTAAAACTCAAGATTTTTTTTTTAAAAACCTGCCTTTATAAGCATCTGCAACCAAAGGACCCCATCCAGGTGATGACTATGTTCACACATGACATTCAAAAAGTATACAATTTGTGAATTTGTTTACACAATAGTTGAGCTATACACTTACTGTTATTCACATTTAATTTTCAATGTGTGTACAATCTGTGAACAAAACAATGATATCTGTAAGAATAGGAAATGTCTCCAACATTAATACACCAATTTTCACAAATGTGCAAGGATCCCCCTTTTTTTAGTTCCCTCGGAAATGCTGAATGAAAAAAAAAATTCTTTTAATGTTCTACATACTTCATTTCAAAAGTTGATCAATAGCTTTGCTAAATAAAGATTTACAACACCTGTCTCTGCTAAACTAGCACCTAGTATATAAAAGTAAGCCTAGGGCTCTTGCAAACCAGTGTTTTCTTGTGGGTGTAATCTGCAATGTGGTCTTGAAACAAAAACAGTGTGTTGGTAGTAGATTAATTCTGCTTAATTACTTTTTCTGTGATATATCAAATGTAATTACATTATTGCCGTCAAAGTGAGATAGAACAATCCAGAATATTTTTGGTATAAGAAGGTACAGGATTTCAGCAGATGTACCATGTGCATGGCTCAAAAATTGATGTTTACCTTTTAAAATGATGTTTACTTTTGAAATTATGATTATATATATGTCAATTAGAAAGAAAATATAAACTATTCTACAAACTTTTACAGTAATTGGTATATATTTTGCATTCTTTATTTATCTTCAGGTTGTTCCTAAAGAAGAAAATGCAGTTTCTTCACATTCTTCACATTCTTCACAAACACATTGAGCTTCCCAAACTATTAATAATCAGCACTTATGTGAACCAATTACATTTTTCCTATATCTTTTTTTTCCAAAGAATGAAAAATTGAGAGGGTATAACTGAACAGCAAGCATGCACATACCTGTGGAATTTTGAAGTTACTTAAGATGGAGGCCATCTGCATGGAGTATTCTGAAGTGAGTCCTCCAGTAACAGAAAATACATCTTTCCTACCACACTTGTAATTTGGTATATTATTTTTCTGCTTGAAAAGTAGATCTAGGGTGGCCTCGTACGTTCTTCTTGAGTTATATAGGTTGTCAAAGATATGGAACCCCAGTGTGATATTGGGCAACAGCCGTGGGTTATTGTTGATCTCATTAATGGCAAAAATCATGGCGAGGACATGTTGATAATGTTTAAACTTTATGCTGCAATGAGGTTCACACTGAGATTTACAAAGGTCAATTAGATATTATGCATTAGCAGACTGCAAATAGTCAAGGAACACACACAGAGAATGGGATAAAATTAGGGCCCCTTTATTAAAATAACATAAGAACATAATGAAGTCATAAAATTTCATAGTGGGCAATGAAAACTATGTGAAACCCAATTCTATCAGGCTCCTTATCATATTGACTGGGTGAGCCTACCATATGGCGAGTTGGTTCTGAATTCTAACTTTCACCTTTTGGCACTCTTAAGAAGAGGATACAAAACCCCAAGAGAGTGATGCAGGCTATCCCCAAAAGTGATCCATATCCTGCTCCATGGACCACAAATCCTAATGTGTAAGTCTCTGGGATCATTATTCATCTCAAACATGCCTCAGAGTGCTCACGATCTGTTTCAGCCTCTTCCGTTGTCCACACACACATGCCCCCAAATGAAGACAAGTCCCCTGTTTCATTTACCTTCCAGCTTGGTGGTGTTTTTAATTACAGAAAAGCTATTAGACAACTCCCTAATAGCTTGAGAAAGGCAGGTTACTATCAGAAAAGAAGTGTGAATTTTGATTCAGCATCTTCAGGCAGAGTTGTTGAACTGAGTCAGACAAATGGGGATTAAGGAAAATATTTTCTTGTAAACCTGGGACAGATCCAGCCAGAATTAAGCACTTTGTCCTAATGATTAGCTTGCTGCCTTTGGATCAGCTGGACTTAACAATTGTCTGGTTATTGCCAGTGGAATTGCCTATTTTTAAAGCATGGTGGGCAGGATACCATATTTTGGGCAGGAAGGGTGTCATGCACTAATTTCTCTTCCTCCCTCCCTCCCATTAAAGTGTGCTGTTTTGAAGGGCTTTTCCTAGGAAAATTGGGGGTGGGGTCAAAATCCTACACTATTGTGCCACCCACAGTGGGTAGGTCTTTAATAAATGTATTACAAGTAGAAATTGGAATTATACATCTTGCCCATTAACATCATATGAAAAGCAGAACTTTGTAGCATTCCACACACATCTGCTGTGCAATTGTTGGTATATGTAATATTAAGTAGTAAAAATGATTACTAGTAAAAAAAATAATATGCAAAACTTACAGAGGAAAATCATAAATTCTGTATGGAACGAATGTAAAATTGAGCAAATATACCCCATGTTGTATAAGAGAAAGAATGCCACCGATGATCACTTCTCCAGGCTTATACAAATGGTATTGGGTGTTTGTGCATTTTTCTGACATTTTCTTGCAAGCAAAGGGAGGGAGCTGTAGCTGCAACAGCAGCAGCAACAGCAAGCACCTTAATTCAAATACATGCCTGCCCATACCACAACTGCACAACGGCATGCTTTGCCACACAAAAAGCAGCAACTGTAAGAGGTCAATTTATCCCTTCTGCATGTGTCACAACAAACACACACCCTCCAACCTATGCAGCACATTGTAACCAGTACTTAAGTGAGCTCAAAATTTGAAGCACTTGTTTTTAATCTCTCCGTCTCTCTTTTTTGATTACAGATTAAGGAAAAACAATAATAGTGTTTTTCATAATTACATAGTGGATAAACATCTCCCTGATGTCACAAAGTGTGAAATACTTGTTTTTCCTTCCTTGTTTGCAACCTTCAGAGGGGCACATGGCAGTACTGCACAGGGGAAACTGAAAAAGTGGGCGAAGCAAAGCACTCAGATTTTACTTTTGTTCAGAAAATTAGTTTGTGGTTCGAGGACCCGATCCCCCCCAAAGTGGAATGAATACACAAGGACACGTGATATAAGGTTAATGGGCAAGAAAAGGCCACAAAGCGTGTTCTCCTTCATGGAGAGCACGTGTTGCGGTGGGGTCTGCTGAGCCACCCCTCTGTTACCAGGCAGGGTCTCTAAAGATGGCCTGGGGCAGTGATTGGTTCACTGGGTTGCTGGGGTAAAAGTTATGTTGCAATTTTGGTGGGAGGGGTAAAATGTTTAAATACTCTGCACGCAGCCTGGAGCTTTCTTTGCTGCGTGCAACGGATCACCCGCCCACCCGCCCTTGAGTAAGGGGTTGTTGCATTGACCTTGCTATGCCTGTCATGGGGTCGTCTGCCGTTGGGGCAGGGGCCTGGTAGGAATTTTGTCCATCTGGCTGATTGGCTGGGCCATTTGGTTTTTGCCTACTGCGTAGCAAATCGTCACAACTTGTAAGGTTGTGGTTAGGCATTGGTTATAAATTGGTGGAGGAGGGGTTAGGATAGGCTGGGCCTGCCCCTCCATGGTTGCTGCGGAAAGGGAATTCCGTTAAAGGAATCCTGGGGCTTGCCATCTTTTCGTCCAATCCCTGGAATGGGACTAGGACCGGCAAGCCTTCGGGAGCATGCGGATGAGAATTGAGGGTCTGTGGCCCAGCTCCATTTTTCTCCGACTTGCTTTCCCCGCACTGTCTTTCGGTGGTGCCCGGAAGTCAGTTCTGTCCCCAGGCGGGGGACAGATAGTCTTAACCAATGCCTAAACAACCACTCACGGTTTTGTATTTAAATAAAGTTGTGGCCAAAATTATGCCAAAAACCTTAAACAAAAATTAAGTGTGCGTTGTGAGTTATTTGGGGGGTGGCTTGGGGACCTCGACACGCAACTTTATTGATTACAGCAAGTGAAAAGGTATTGGCTTAGGCATTGGATTACATCATCTGACTCCACCCCCTCAGAGAGGGGTGAGTCTGAAACAAGGGGGGTTTATTCACCAGTAGGTGGAGCCTGTTGATGCTAATCCAGCTATAGGCTCTCCCCTGATGTCACCGAGGGTCGTGCCATGGCCTCCCGCCAAGCAGGCATCGGACAGAATACACGACTGCCGGATTCCTTTAACGGAATACCCAAAAATTGAAGGCATAGGCGATGGCCACACCTACCCCATTGACACCACAACACATTATTCCAATGCCTAACCTACCCACCAATACCACGAAAGTTGTGACGATTGCTACGAGGTAGGCGAAAAAACCAAAAAGCCTAATGCCAAATGGAAAAATCTCCTACCAGGCCCCCCAGACAACCAGGGCGACCAACCTAAGGTCCATAGCAAGGCCAAGGAAAACTAAGACCCTGAGCTCAAAGGGAGTGGAGGGTGGGTGAATCGCGACGGGACGACGAAGAGTGAGGCCGAGGAGGGGCTGGCGCCGCAGCATTTAGGCTGCTGTACACCCCCCCCCTCGCAGGCACCTGGTTGGGTGCCTGCCGATGGGCGTGGGCGCCAGCCAGGTGAGTGGGAGGCAGGGGGCTAACGCCCCCTGCTAGAGGCGGAGCTCGGGCTCCCGCCCACAACCACTCCCCTCTCTTCCAGGAGGAGAGTCTTTCTACACTCACACACCCCTTTCTCAAGTAGAGCCAGTGATGGATGTGGCCTGGAAAGAGATAGGGTGGCACTGGTATTTCTCCTAATATACATACTTTAGTGTACCAGTTTACCAAATATATCCCTTTTAGTAAGCAGTTCTGCATAATGTAGTATACTGCATGTTTGCGTGTAGTTTTCACTAATGTACACTTTTAATGTTCACTTCCCCCCAATATATGCATTTCAGTATACATTTTAAGATTAAAGAACTGCACACAATATTGAGAACAGTGTGAATTTTGAAGAATATTTGTGTTTACATTTGCCTGTTGTTTCGGGAATTGTAGTTACATAGGTCTGCAATAAAATTTGAACCAAATTGAATTTCTAGTGCAGCTGTGAAAAAGTTGTGAAAAAGAGGAAAAGTGGAGGGGTTGGACAATTTGCACTTGCTCAGCGTAGAGACAGAAAGAGGCACTCTGTATGTGCTCAAAGACACTTTTACTATATTCTGGCTAGCTAGTAGATTTTTTTTCTTTTTGACTATGAAACCCAGACATGGTTTGTTGACTGCAGCTAATGTGCACAATGATTCTTACTGAGATACATAAACTTGTTGCACTTAGCAAATTAAGTTCCTAAGTTAATATGGGAAATGCTATTTACAATGGTCTTTAACTATATATATATATATATATATATATATATATATATATATATACTTTAGAAAGTTGGTGAGTGTTCTTAAGTAAACAAGGCTTTGGGGATTATGACTTTTGGGAATATAGAAGTGGAAATAGTTCCATTGTCTATTTATTTCTTAAAAATAAAATAAATTTCTTATGTAATTTGTCTCATTTCCACATATGTTAATCAGGTAGAAGTTTTATTAGACCCTAGCTGCCTTTTGTTTATTTTGCTAATAATGCTGTAACATCAAATATCCCATCTATGGTTTCTAATTACTCCAACAATCATGGGGGGGGGGGGGAAATCAATTTTTTTGGGGGGGGTGTTCTTACCTTGACTTGAGAAGCTACTTCCAGAATACCCCTCCCCCCCATAAAAATTCCGTCATGTTAATTAATTGCATGTTGAATGTTTATTACATATTTATATAGTTACTTTAATTCAACGACCTCAGTATGGCTAAGTTATAGACAATTGCTTTTGTGAATGAGCTCTCCTTTATACAACTCCCCATATGAACTGACCTGAACCCTGCAATCACCTTCTGAGGCCCTTCTTCATGTGCACCCTCCACAAGAGGTCAGGAGGGTGGCAACACAAGAACGGGCCTTTTCTGCAGTGCCTCCCCACTTGTGGAATGCTGTACTGGAAAGTGTCATGATTTTAAAAATTGCTGCTGCTTTATTAAATAACAGGGATGTATGCATTTGTATAACGTAAAACAATACCTGAGAAGGGCAATATAATTATTTTTTTACAATTAATTGGATGGATCCCAATATATTCATACTTAGAGTTGACCTGTTTAAACCAACAGAACAAGTTAACCAAGCCTATATGGTCCCATTGATTTCAGGGGAACTACATTAAGCATAGCCAAGTCTAGATCCACTGAAAAGTAACCATGCACTCTTTCCATTTGAGTACTGCTGCTGCTACTACAATGATTGCAATGAGTTTTTAAATGTATGACATATTAGTGTATTTTTGGTCTTTGTGGAAGCTGCCCAGAGTGGCTGGGTACAAATAATAAATTATTATTATTATTATTATTATTATTATTATTATTATTATTATTATTGCTTCTGCTAACATAAAAACAACCTGCTGGATAGCACCAATGACCCACATAGTCCAGCATGTTTTCTCACAGTAGCCAACCAGATGCTTGTAAGAAATCCAGAAACAGGACCTAAACGCAAGGGCTTTCTCCCCTTCTACAATTTTCTGTAACTGATTTTCAGAAGCATACTGCCTCTGACTGTGGAGATGGAGCATAACCATCATGACAAGTAACCACTGATAAACGTACCTACCATGAATTTATCCAATCCTCTCTTAAAACAACCCAAGTTGGTGGCCATCACTGCCACCTGTGGCAGTGATGGCCACTAGAGAGTTCTCTAGTTCAATTGTTGTTCAATCAATTGTGAAGAAGGACTTGCTTATGTATATTGTGAATTTTCTAATATCTAGCTTCATTGGATATCCACAAGTTCTAGAATCCTAAGAGAAGGAGAAAAACTTTTCTCTATCTACTTTCTCCATGTCATACATAACTGTATAAAGTCCCAAATGCTGCAGCCTAATTCCATAGCACTGGGGAAGCATCACAAAACAAACAACACCCACACACAATGTTATATTATTATAACAGAGGTTTCCAGCTTTGTTGAGTCCACAGCTCCGTTGACCAACTGCATTCTTTCTGTGGCACCCCTGTGGGGCTCAGGAGCCCAGTTATGCTACGCTAGTGCTTTCCAAATGCACTCAGTACTTCTGCTCACTAGACCTGCTGGTTGTTTATCTGGCTGAAAGCAACTTATGTACACAAAAGGCTGTTTACTTGGAGTGGACCATTTTAAAAGACATTGCCTCGTTGCCTGATGGAGATCTGAAAATGTGCATCACCCGGTCATCTTGGTGCAACGAAGCTCTTGGAGGGGAGATCAGCCTCTGCAGGTGGATAGGGTGCAATGGCAGTGGCACGTGGTGCGTGCTGTAATGCTCTAGGGTGGCCTGGAAAATCTGTCACCCCTTGATCAGGTTTGAGTTTTCGGACTTCTTTCGCCTAGGTGGGGTTCACCTGTCAGAAAGCGGCAATTAACATTTGATTGGAAGATAAAACAGTGACTTTACATTTACATTTACTTTCGATTCCCCTGTTGTTTGCTTGCTCTGGGCCTTTCTATTCCCATGGGAAAAACTCAGTGTGACCTTGACTGATAGACAACGTTGGAATGAGTGGCACAAGGAAAAGAGGGAGAGTTAGACAAACAACCTTAACAACTCTAACCTCAGCCTCGCAGGCACGTAGATCATCTGTACCTACTTTGCCCTCAGAAGTAGAACTTGAAGAAGTTGCCTTGCCACAGGCAAAAGAGGGAGAGGGTGAAGCAGAGCAGTTACAACTGGAAGATATGGCCTCAGGAGTATCTGTTTCTGTTCTAGACAAAATCTTTGAAAAATTGGAAGCTTTGGACAAGAAAGTAGATGCGCAATCAGTAAAGATTGACAAAAATACAGAATGTCTAAATAAATTAACCATACAAGTTGTACAGAATACACAAGCAATTGGACAGCTAACGGAGGCCTCAGTAGAAAATCGGAAATTGGCTGAGGATACTAGACAAAAATTGGAAAATTTAGAGCAAGAGGTAAGACCACTCACCAAACAAGTTGGAGAACATCAGACTTATCTTTCCATGATAGAACTGCGAAACCGTGAGAATAATTTGAGGATTAGATCACTACAAGAGGCAGAAGAAGGAAATTTAACTGAGTTTTTGACCAAAGAATTTTCCAAGTTCTGGAGTTTGGAAGAAAAGGATTTTAAAATTGTGTCGGCTTTCAGACTTGGAAGATTCACAAAGAAGGAGAGGCCCAGAGACTGTTTGATTACATTGAGATCAAAGGAGGAAAGGGATAAGATTTTGGGCCTACATTACGGAAAGTCACTGGAGGTTTTGGATAGAAGAATTGAAATTTATAAAGATATTCCAAGACAACTGCTGGACCTTAGAGCCGCCTATTCTGAACCTTGCTAAACGACTAAGGAGCAACGCAATTCCCTTCAGGTGGGAATTTCCCCAAGGAATATCTTTTTACCTTTAAAGGGAGAAAGGTCAAAGTTAGAACATTGGAAGAGAGAGACAAATTCTTGGCTACATACGGAGAGGACCTTCAAAAAGGAATTGAATTACCTTTTGGGCCTGGGGCAAAGCCAGCACTAACACCAGCACCTGGGGAACCTGAAGATCCAGAGAAGACACCACCCCTGGAGAAATAACCAGATAGATCCAGGATGTCTCTGCAATTGCTGAGTTGGAACATTAATGGTTGTAACATTCCGGAAAAAGGAAGAAAATATTTCATATATTAAAAAAAGAACAATTGGACATTATTTGTTTACAAGAAACACATGTGACGAGGCTCCACAGAAAAGTGTTAATAAATAAAAGATTGGGCCAGGAATTTGTTTCGTCGGACAAAGTTAAGAAGAGAGGCGTGGTGATATATGCAAAAGAGAGCCTGTCACCTAAATTCTTATTTAAAGATGAACATGGAAGAATTTTGGCCATTGAGATACAATATCAAGGAGAGAAACTGTTGATATTAGGAATCTATGCACCTAATGAAGGAAATCGGAATTTTACAAGAAGCTGCAGGGGACAATGCTGGAATATCTGGATTACAGCAACATCATAATGATGGGAGACATGAGACAGGGTCGTGTCAACTAACATGGACAAGTCACAAAGCCAAAATGTTACAAAAGACGGCAGACTACCTAAAACTTTTTTGAAATGACTGACAATATGGATTTGATTGACATTTGGAGGACAAAAGAACCCACTAGGTAGAGAAGGAACATTCTTTTCTGAAGCCCAACTGACCTGGACAAGAATCGACCAAATATGGATTTCCAGAGGCCTGGCACCTAAGGTCAGAAAAGTGGAAATCTGCCCAAAGACCTGCTCTGACCATAATGCAGTAAAGATGGATATGACATTACTACCAACTGGATCCTTTAGATGGAAGATGAATGACAATTTGTTTAGAGATCAGGAAATTACCAAGAAGGCCCAAAAAGTTTTGAAGGACTATTTTGAGATAAATATGAACAATTCGGTGGAAAAAGCGACAGGAGATTGAACAAGCTATTCTTAACATGCAACTCGGCAAATCTCCAGGGCCAGATGGGCTGACCTCCAAGTACTATAAGACATTAAAAGACTATTTGATACAACCCTTGATGGAGGTCAGCAATGAAATTATGGAGGGGAAGAGGGCACCGGATTCGTGGAAGGAAGCGTTCATCACATTAATACCAAAGTCAGAAGCTGAAAAGACACAACTGAAGAACTACCGTCCCATCTCTCTTTTAAATGTGGATTACAAAATATTTGCAGATATTTTGGCAAATAGATTTAAAAAAAGTATTAAATGAAGTAATTCATAAGGACCAGGCCGGTTTTCTCCCAGGTAGACATCTGTTTGCTAACACAAGGAACATTATTGACATCTTGGAACTTCTGCAAACAGATATAAATACAAAAGCAGTTTTAATTTTCATAGATGCGGAGAAGGCCTTTGACAATATTTCCTGGAAATTTATGATGGGAAATTTAAAAGAGATGGGAGTGGGACGGGGTTTTGAGAATGGGATTGAGGCGATATATTCAGAACAGAAAGCTAAACTGATAGTTAATAATGTGGTCACAGAAGAGTTCAAAATTGAAAAAGGGACACGACAAGGTTGCCCTCTCTCCCCTTTGTTATTTATTTCGGTTCTGGAAGTGCTATTGAACATGATTAGAGGGATCGGTTGGTGGAAGGAATTCAGGTTGGTCAGAAACAATATAAACTAAAAGCTTTTGCAGATGACCTGGTTTTGACCCTGCAGAAGCCAGAGCCCAGTACGAAAAGAGTATTACAATTGATTAATGATTTTGGTCGGGTGGCGGGATTTAAATTAAATAAACAGAAAACTAAGGTTTTGGGGAAAAATTTGACTGATACAGAGTCAGAACGGTTTCAGAATGAGACGGAACTTAATGTGGTTAAAAAGTAAAATACCTAGGGGTAAACATAACAGCAAAAATCTAAGTCTATTTAAGGATAACTATGAAAAATGTTGGACAGAAATTAAGAGAGACTTAGACAGTTGGTCAAAATTGAAACTTTCTTTGTTAGGCCGAATTGCTGCTATTAAGATGAATGTATTGCCAAGGATGTTGTTTTTATTTCAAACACTTCAGGTTTTGGACAAAGCGAGTGCTTTCAGAAGTGGCAGAGAGATATTTGAGTTTGTCTGGCAGGGCAAAAAGCCCAGAATCAAGTTTAAGATATTAACTGATGTAAAACAAAGAGGGGGCTTTGCCCTGCCGGACTTAAAGTTGTATTATGAAGCCGCAGCGTTTTGCTGGCTAAAAGACTGGCTACTTCTTGAAGACACTGATGTGCTGGATTTGGAAGGGTTAATAATGTTTTTGGATGGCATGCATATTTATGGTATGACAAAGTTAAAGCAAATAAGGCCTTCAAGAACCATATTGTCAGAAAATCATTGTTTAATGTCTGGATAAAATATAAAGACTTGCTGGAAAATAAAACACCAAGGTGGCTTTCACCTTTGGAAGCTAAGGCCCGAAAAAGACCCAATATGGAGGCTAAATGGCCAAAATATTGGGAAATACTAGAAAAAGATGGAGACAATTGGAAATTGCAGAGTTTGGAGAAAATGAAAGATAAAGTGCGAGATTGGTTACATTACGCTCAGATTAAAGAAGTTTTTAAAAATGATAAGAAACTAGGGTTCCAGGTGGAGAAATCGAAATTAGAAACAGAATTGTTAGAACCAAAGACTAAGGTACTTTCAAGGATGTATAACTTGCTGTTGGAATGGAATACACAAGATGAAATGGTTAAATCGGCTATGATAAGGTGGGCACAGGACATTGGGTATAATATTATGTTTGAGGACTGGGAAAAGTTGTGGAGTAATGGATTGAAATTTACTGCATGTAACGCTCTGAAAGAAAATGTAATGAAAATGATTTATAGATGGTATATGACCCCAGTTAAACTTGCAAAAATTTACCACCTGTCTGATAATAAGTGTTGGAAATGTAAAGAGTGTGAGGGAACGTTCTTCCCTTTATTTGGGCCTTTGGATTGGCCGTGGGGGCAGGTTTGGATTGGCAGGAGTCAGACCGTGGTAGGTCCTCCCTTGTGGTGGAAATGGCATTGGTCAGGATCAACATAGTATGGGGGGGCATAATGGGCCTAAGAGGAGGATTGACCATGGCAAACCGAAGCATGGGTTTGATATTTGCCTGGTTGAAATCTGCACCCTGGTCCCCCCCCCCCCGTGAGAATTTGCTTGCTTGACTTGCACCACGGCAAGGTTCAACATTGGCTGACTTCCGTCATACAGGTTTGGAACGATCCAAACCCAGAGGATCCATTCCAGCAACCTGAGGCTTGTGAAACGATGAACTGATCCTGGGACCCAATGCCATGCCAACCTTTGCCCTGCCTGTGGCTGTGAAAAACGAATTGGCCTGATTTTATCCCATCACCATTGTACAGTCTGGTTCTTTTGCTGCGCTCATGAGTCACATGGGCAAAAATATCCTAATTAGCAGAATAGCATCCCTTCTTTGGTGTTCTAAAATAAATTAAGCATGTTGGGATTATGGCCAGTGGGGATTTTGAAGAAATAGTGAGCATTAAAAAATGAAAATATCAGATTAAAAGCTCCCTTCTAGACTAAAGTTAGGCTTAACTCATCAGTTAAACAGATTTAAACCCCCACCCCAGTCTATTAGGATTGTTTGCTAGGAAATTTCCAAAATGATCTTACATCCTGTTTTAATGAGCAGTGTTTGATCAACAGCATTAGCAAATCCTTCTGCTTGATCAGTTGTTGAATATCAGCCTATATAACAGGTATTTTAGTCAAGGGGTAGAGAGAAAGAGGGGGAGGGGAGTATTTTGATTTTATAAACATTTATGTCGTATCATAGGGCTGATATATGTACGGAATCTCCTGGACATTACTGGAAATTTCCAAAAGGTGGTGCTTTGTTCTGGATCTTCAGCAAGTCAATTTTAGGCATATTTTTTGGCATTTTTGTAAAGAAAAGCTCAACAACTTTCGGGTTGTCCTGGTTTTTACTTTTTGAAATATGGCAACCCTAGGTATCATTACAATAAATCAATAACTGGGAGATGATCCACTACCATCAACTTTTCTTCTACTTTTCAAGGAATACAAAGAGGCATTGTTTTGTTTAATTCCCTACTGGGGAGGCTATTTTAAAAACAGTTGAAAATAATATTAACCAATTTGTACTTTAATATCAATTTCTCTCTTTGATAGCTCCAGTCCAATATATGGAAGCCAATTAGATAAAGGATATTTAATGTAGAAATTAATTCAATTGCTGATTTCTAGGTTCACTTCACAGGAGACCCATACTTTTACCTGTATAGTTTTACATATAAAATCATTCATCTATTTGCTTTTTCTAACATTGTAAGCTACCCCACTCTAGGAAAGTTGGTAATAGGTGAACAGAGGTTAACTGTATTGTATTTTTTACGAATGAATGTGATGTGACACGTAAAAGAACTTCAATGTCATAAAACAAACTATTATTCTCAAAAACAGTGTTTTGAAGCCACTTTTCATAATATTGGCTTAATGCTTTCTAAAACATTGAGATGTGATGGACATGCTTAAATTTATTGTGTTTTGCTATTCTGTATGTCTGGCTGTGAAAGATGCAAACATGCCTACCCACAAATGAAATAATCTGTGGAATAATGAGCCCAAAGGACAAGAAATAACAGGTAATAAAGAAAAAGGAGATCAAGAGACAATGCATTTCCCTTTTTCAATTTCAGATCTGCCCTCATGCAGGACATAGGGGAAAATGAGACAGAAGTAACTGAATTTGTTCTCGTGGGATGGTCAGGTCGACCCAAGGCAAGAATGGGATTGATGGTCCTCTTCATTGTATCCTATGCAGTCATCCTTGTTGGAAATGGACTCATTATTGTGGTGGTCATAAATGACTCCCGGTTGCACAGTCCTATGTACTTTTTCCTCTGTAATTTGTCCATCATTGACCTTTGTTTCTCATCGACTGGCATCCCACAATCTATAGTCAATTGTTTAGTGGATAGACCTGTTATGCCTCTTCCACTGTGCTATTCTCAAATTCTTCTGGGTCTCCTTTTTGGTACGTGTGAATGTTTGCTGCTGGCTGTCATGGCTTATGATCGCTATGTGGCCATTTCCAACCCACTGCGATATACACTCATCATGAACAGGAATATTTGTATCACCTTTGCTGCTATGACATGGACGACTGCCTTCATGGTTACAATAGTTCCCTGTCTTGCGAAGCCAGCACGATTCTGTGGGAACAATGAGGTGGACCATTTAGTATGTGAATTCAAAGCTGTCTTTAAGTTACTCTGCACTGATACGTCTGCGAGCACGCTGGGCATGTATTTTACAAGCATTTTCACACTGATTTTACCCCTAGCTTTCATTTCTTTTTCTTATATGCGCATTCTTATTGCCATCATGAGAATGCACTCAGATTCTGAAGGGGGTAGGATGAAGGCTTTTTCCACATGTGGGTCTCATCTGGTTGTGGTGGTCATGTACTATGGCTCAGGTATGTCTGCATACCTTATCCCTCAAACTAAAGAAACTCATTTAGGTGACAAGATTGTTTATATATTTTACACAGTAGTTACACCTATGTTTAACCCTATGATTTATGCACTCAGGAATCAGGAAGTGATGGGAGCACTAAAGAGACTAATGAGCGGGAAGAAATAATGCAAAATTATGTTATTAGATGTTTCAAATCTAACATTCTGTTGATTTTTCAACTGCAGTCTCAGCTTATGTAAGGGATTGTTCTATGAAAATCTTATGTAGATAGAAATGTGCACAAGTGCAAATTGCCCATATGGCATCACAATTTTCTCATAAGTGTTGGAAGGGATGTTGAAAAAGAGGCACCTTTTTTCACTTATGGTGGTACAGCTCACAAGTATTCAAATTCAGGACAATAGTTAGTTAAGAAATGACCAAAATACCCAAATATCCCATTGCAACTTCACTGTAGCTTTGTTTACCAAATCAATGGAACAATCAACTGAAAGATTTCTGCCAGGGCTTTTTTTCAGCCTGAATTCATTGGAACACAGCTGGCAGCTGCCAGAATCTCAATTGCCCCCAAATGGACAGGACTTGCAACTTTCATTTCGGTATTAAAATGTATTAAATTTAGCATCAGCTGGAGGGGGCGCTAATAAATTATGTGTTGCCAAGTGCTTGGAGTATCATGAAAAAGTATACTGTTTGGTGGGATTTTATCATATAAGCAACAAATGCAAACATATAGGACTCCCTCTCCATGGTACAATGTGAAATTGGGCTTCCTTAATGGTCTTAATTACTTTAAATCTCTTCCATATATACTACGCTGCTTTTTTGTATTTTTATATCAATTATGTTCAAGCAGTAGTAAGGGGCACTCATTGTAGTAGAATTTTAAAAGAATGGGAACTCCAACATGAAACCAACATCTTCCAATAACTAGAATGGAGGTATTTATTTTCAGATTAGGATAATTCAGATTAGGATAATTGTGCCTTTTCCAAAACTAAATATAAGTTTTGGATATTTGAAAACTAATCTGTGAAACTATTGTATTCAATAGAGTTGATGATCAGAAAATAAAATATATTGGTTATTTGTGAATTGTACTGCCTGAACATTCTGAACATGCCACTAGAGAAGGACTCGTGTGTCCAACAACTGATGCCAAGTGAGAACTGTGCCCTTACAAAGCACCGTGTTCCTAGCCTATTCTCTGAGGGAGCTGGGAAATAAAATGACCATGGGTTTTGCATGTAGGGGATACATGAAGCCACCAAGAGTTGAAAAGCAAACCCCTAGCCATGAGGTGATGGAGGAGTGGGAAAAGGTCATTTAAAGTGTTCCCAAGAACCAGTACATATGGTCACCCCAGGGATACACAATGTGGTGAATTACAAACAACTCCCATCCAGCATGGCCAATTCGATGTCTACCTTCCCAAACGCTTCCATTGTTCATCCTATTGTCCACAATAGACCCTGTTGGTTTCTGTGCCCTCACTGATTTATAGCATCTTTTCCCACTTATATATTCTTTGAATATATAAACCCCATTGTTTGAGCTGAATCACTATTTTGTGCCTGTCTGAGGTGGCAAGATCAGCTGGACTATTTAAGGCTTGTAGAAATGACAGGGAGAAGCTGCATGGCACATTATGTAGTATGTTATGAGATATGTGGTGCCATCTGATGAAAGGGGAGTTGGAGGGAATATATGGCTGTGCAGCAGTTTTGCAATTGTATTGCATTGCTTAATTGTAGAATCACACAAATAGAAAGAACATTGGTTTGCAACTATGGCATTGCACTTACAGAAAAAAATCATTTATATCAATTTGAAAGAAGAAGCAAATTCACGCTTCTCTGTATCCTAACATATATAACACACCAGGTGAATGCAATTCTGCTATTTATACACTGCTTAACCAACAATGTTTCTAAGTGGTATACATAAAGATTACAAAAAAGGGCACAACATCCATTAAGATTAATCATAAAACAAAAGTACCATAATAAGTGGTATAGAGATAGGGTGAAATTCTATACTTTTCTCACTGTAATGGGAACCGAGTTCATATTTTCTGAAACAATATGCAAACTGGAACACTGTTATCCTTCTGAAGTGGGTAGGATGAAGGCTTTTTCTACCTGTGGTTCTCATTTGCCTTTGGTGGTCATGCACTATGGCTCAAGTAAGTCTGCATGCCTTATCCCTCAAACTGAAGAAGCTATTTAGGTGCTAAATTGTTTATATATGTTACACGGTAGTCACACTCATGTTTTATAGCGATCCTTACAAATTTGCACTTCTCCAAATTTTGAACTGAAGTTCTGCAGCAAAAAAAAAATGTCCACAAGAAAGCATATATTTTGGGGAAGTGTGTATACACACAAAAATAACACACAAAAATATATTGGGGAAAATCACTTGCAAAAATGTGTATATTAGGATAAATAAACACAAAAA